TGCCAGAGCTGCGGACGAGGACTCAAAACCATAAAGTGAATTCGGCGCATTGGTGGCGGCCCGAATGCAATCCTCACGATGGGCGCGAAGACCGCAGCGCTGGGCTGAACGGCGGCTGGCAGGCCCATGCGGAGCAGCAGCCGGCGAGACCGGCAGCGGGAAGACGTCGCGCTGGCGACCAGCTTCCGGCGGTCAGGGGCCTGCGGTCGGAGCCGCAATGCTGTCCCAGGGAGAGGCTGGCCCACCTGCCCACCCCGGCTCTTCTCAGCCATCGGGGCCAAGGGTATTGCCGCCCCCGCGGGGCCTCGACGTCCGCGGCCCCGCAGCGCCGCCCGAGCCAGCAGCGCCTGACCCAGCAGCCAGCGCACGCTCCTCCCGAGCCTGGCGCCTCTCCTTGGCGATGGCCGCCTCGCGAGTCTTCTCGGCCGCCAGCTCATCAGCCAGTCCCGCAGCGCTGGGGCCACGCAGATGCTGCCGCCGGCGTCCTGGGCGCCAGACAGCAAGGCCACGTCGTGGCCGCACTCGGAGGTCGGTTCGAACCTGTCGCGATAGAGCTTCTCCAGCGTCTACAACGTGCGGCCGACCAACTCCATCGAAACGAAATTCGTCGCATGCACTTGATCGTGCATGACGCTGCTCTCGAGCAGCCTGCAGCACAACAGGTGCACGTCAACGCCAGGGTCCCCCTGGTCCAAATATGTCTCAGCCTTCCACTTGGAGCGTCGGCCGAGCGGCGCCCCTCCATTGCGGCAGATGTAGCTCAGGGCCCAGAGCAAAGCCCGAGGGCCCTTGAGAGGCCAGTCGCCCCACGGCAGCTCGTGCATGCCCATCGCGGCGGCCCTGCAGTCGACGTAGCGCACGCCCTGCGGGTCGAGGGCGACGGCCTGCATCCCTGCGTCGCCGCCAGGGGCCGCCGCCACCGCCGCCGGCGCGTTCGCGAGGCCGCCCGCGCCCAGACCAGGAACGCCGGGCACCCCGGCTGCGGCGGCCATCGCGGCGGCGGCCGCGGCAGCGCCAGCGCCGGGGGCCGCTGCCGGAAGAGCGCCAGCTGCCGGCCCCGCAGCCGCTGGCACGAGGGCGCCTCCCGGCGCGGCCGCCGCGGGCGGCGACGGCAGGCACCGAGGCGCCGGCGGCGCCGCCATCCACGGGTGTTCCTCCGGCCGCGGGCGCCCCCCCTCCGAGCGCCGCCGCGAGCCCTGCCAGGCCTCCAGCCGCGGGGCCGCCGACAGCACCGCCGTCTCCAGGGGCCGCCGCCGCTGGGGCGACGGCGGCGATGGCGCGGCCTGCGGTGTTCAGGGCCACGGGGGGGGCCCCCCGGTGCCAGGCCAAGGGACGCCGAGGTAGAGTTGGCGGCGGCTACCACGGCTGCGGGCAAGGGCAGGGCGCAGAAGCGGTACACCTGGTCGGCGCCTGTCGACGCGGATGCGCCACCAGCTGCGCCAGCGGCTGGGATGCAGAACTCCGCTACGTCGGCGCCGCCGCTAACGATGCTCTCGACATACCCGTGGCCATCTGGCGTCAAGATGCCAGTGCCGAAGAGAGGGGTGGCCTGGCAAGATGAAGCGTTCATGCCAGATCCTCGTTCCTCCGACCTGGCACCCGATCAGCACGAAGCCGCCCTCGTCCGGCCCGAGGATGGCGAGGGCATGGCCCGCGGCAGCGGCGGCCGCCGCGGACATCAGGTCGCTGGGCCTGCAGCCGTGCCCTGGCGAGGGCAGCGTCCCAGACCCCCGACGTCATGATTTTTTCATGACGCGACCCCCAGAGGTCCAGACCCATTCCCTTGGACCGGTTTTTCATCCCGAGTCGTTTTTTGACGGTCCCGAGGCCCGGTGAGGGCCCTCAGAGGCCGAAAATAGCGAAAAACCTCCCGTCGTGATTTTTTCATGACTCGAGGAGGTCTGGGGTGGGCGCGGGCCTCCTCCGAGAGCCTCTCGACCCCGGCAGGCGGCCGGGCCGGCGCAGCGGGCGCGAGCGCCTGCGCCCGGGCCGCGCCCGCCCCCGGGCCCGCAGGCCGGGGCCAGCCGTACGGCCCCGAGGGCGTCGGGCAGTCCAGCCGCGGCGCCTCCCGGCTCCCGCCGCACACCGGCGATGGCCTGCAGGTGCGCGGCGGGCAGTCTGCCCGAGCCGCCCACGCGGAGCACTCCCTGCGGCGCTGTGCGCAGGGCCTCCTGCACGAGCCACCCGCCGAGGGACAGCGAGCGCGCCACAACCCCATGCACTGGAGCACACATGCCAGCAGACAGGCACGAGCTGGCATGGGGAAGTGCGGCATTCTCACCTCGGGGCTCTGCATTACGTTCTAAAAACTGTCCATCTGTATATCCCTCTCCTTTACATGTAGTTTGTGTTGTTCCCCCTCTCTCTGTCTCTTTCTCATTCTCTCCTTCTCTCGGCCATGGGGCGCGCCCCGCGCGGCCATCCCCCCAGGGGCCGTCGCCCCTGACTACTATGCCAGGAAGCCCCGGTGGACCACCGGCAGAGGGCTGAGACATGTAGGACGTAAGCGACGACAAAACGAATGGGAGAAGAGAGAAAAAGGAAAGCTGATACCTGAGTACGTCAAGACGAAGGAAAACAAGGGGCGGGAATGACGGCGCGCAGCGGGAAAGTTGTGGGATGGCAAGGGACCAGCCTGCAACGGTTGTGGGCTGTGCGGCGGCGGGGACACACTCGCCAAGGTGGAAGGCGCAAAGGCCCTCCCACTGCTCAAAATAGGACCCCCCAACGGGCGCCCACCGGTCCTACGAAGGGGACCCCCGCCTGCGCAGCAGGCGCAGGGGTCCCAGAACGAAGGACGGGTGGCCGCCAGGGGGGGGGAGTCCGCCGAGCGTGGGGGATGTTTGCGCGTTCCGTGGCGGTGGCCCTGTAAACCTTCTCCCTGTAGTAAATGCCCCGCCCCCCACCCACCCCGCAAGGGAAGCTCCCTTCACCCTGCGAGGGCCCTCGTAAGCCAATCACGCCTGCTACCCATGGCGGATCGTAGGCCGAGGTGCGAGTGGCTGCTACTGAGGCAGGGTTGCAGCCAGAAGACCGGCTAGGAGTGGTCTGCAGCGTGGAGAACTCGCGAGGTGACGGCGCGGAAGGCGCGCCTGCCTCTCCCACTGCCCGTGGGAGACCGCCACGGGCGCGCCCGAGTCCTACGACCGGGGTCCCTCGACCCGCACCTGGAATCGCGAGGCTCCCAGAAAGCGGGGCTGGTGGCCGCCGGGGGGGGGGTCCACCGAGCGCGGGGGAGGTTTGCGCTTTGCGTGGCGCGTGAGGAGACTCCATCGGTTGGCGATCCTGACCGTTGTGGGTGAGAATACTGCGGCGGGTTTGGGGACCCTGTGTCACCGCAAACCCACAAGCAGAAGTCGGAGAATGTGCGTCCACGGACGGATCAGATCGGTTGACTCGCATGTATGGGTGACAAAGCCACCGTGGGTTTGGGAGGCCTGTCTGACCGTGGACCCGTTGCATAGCCTAGCCTGCTGTGGGTGCATGCGCCGTGAGTGCTGTGCTGATGTGGTCGCCGCGAGAGGACTCGTAGAGCGTAGAGGTGGGAGTGTGCCGTCGCCACGAGGTAGACATCGAGTGAACGATCTGCTACAGCTGTTGCTACTGCTGTGGGACAATGAGGCGGTGGGTGGTGCGGTAAGAGAACAGTGCGGAGGTCGGAGCTGGGAGAAGGCAGCTGGTGTTTCGTGGGAGAGGTCGGTCGTCCGCTGCCTTGACAGCAGCACTGGTAGGACGGCGGGGATGGCGCACTGATGGGCCTCCGTTAGGATTAAGTCGAGCGACGAAAAATAAAGAATACTCCAAACCTATTCCAAAATGGTCAAAACATGCTGGAAAAATAGTCCCCAGGCTATTTTTTGACTAGTCTTGAATATTCCTCCTGTAGAGGGACGGGCCCGACTTAACGTTAGGCAGGTCCCAGCATGGCTTGAGGGTAGTGATCGCCTCGTCTGCCAGGTTGTGGGCAGTCAGGGGGGACTGCCAGACTTCTCGGAGAAGTTGGGAGTATCAGGAAGGGGCCTTGGGACACACAAATAATACACACGAATAACAGGATTCCCCATATGTTCCTCTATATATTCTAGGTTTTCGTCATCCCCCCCACTTCCCATATTTTCCAATATTTTCCTGGGGATCGTCGAGTAATTGTGTCTGTGTGTTTTTTCCCCTCCTGAGGTTAGGAAAGCAAGATGAGCCTGCGTGGTTAGGCAAATCGGTAAGGCGGCAGGAATGCCGCAGGGTCGGCAGTATCCTCGCTGGCACCCGGCTTGATGTGGAGCGGGTTCGCGAGGGAGGGGATGTCGGTCGTAGGTGCGATGGCGTAGTCCATGTTGTCGTAGCCCGAATCGTACGCCTCCTCGTTGTGGTCCGTGGCGGCTTGGATGTCGGAATGAAGGATGGGCTACATGTGGTCGTCCTCCAACACCTCCTCCTCCAACTCCCCCTCCGCCAATTCCTCCTCCTTCTTAAATTCCTCCTCTTCCACCTCCTCCTCCTTCTCCTCCTCCTTCTCCTCTTTCTCCTCCTCTTTCTTCTGCTCATTCTTCTCTTCTTCCTCCTCCTCCTCCTCCTCCTCCTCCTCCTCCTCCTCCTCCTCTTTCTCCTCCTTTTCCTCCTCCTCTTTCTCCTCCTCCTCTTTCTCCTCCTTTTCCTCCTCCTCCTCCTCCTCCTCCTCCTCCTCCTCCTCCTCCTGCTCCTCCTCATCCTCCTGATTCCCCCCCAACTCTCCTTTTCTTCCCCCCATCGTCCTTTCCCTCCTCTCCTCCTCCTCCTCCTCCTCCTCCTCCTCCTCCTCATCCTCCTCCTCCTCCTCCTCCTCCTCACATCTCCCTCCCCCTCTTCTTACGCCTCCTCCTCCTCCTCCTCCTCCTCCTCCTCCACCCCCTCCTCCCTTTCTCTCAATCCTCCCCTCCCCCCCTCCCCCCTCCCCCGGCTCCAGTTCCGCCTCCTCCCCCTCTGCTCGCGCCGACGACCTCCTCCTCCCCCCCCCGGAGCCCGTCCTGCGCCTCCGTCAGGCGGGCCGCCGCCGGGCCCCTGTCCTTGCCCTTGGCGGCCTTGAGCTGCCTGGCGGCACAGGCAGGGGCGCGGAAGGAGGGAAGAGCCCGAGGTCATCCGACCGCGCCGTCGCGCAGCGCTGCGCGCGGCGCTCGCGCGCGCGCATCTTCGCGCCCTCGCGCCGCCGCTGCAGGGGAAGACGTCCCTTGTCCCGACGCGTGAAGCGATTATTTCCGCGCCCCCGCTGGTGGGTGACCGGGAGGAGGAGGAGGAGGAGGAGGAGGAGGAGGAGGAGGAGGAGAGGAGGAGGAGGAGGAGGAGGAGGAGGAGGAGGAGGAGGAGGGGGAGGAGGAGAGGAGGAGGAGGAGGAGGAGGAGAGGAGGAGGAGGAGGAGGCGGAGGAGGAGGAGGAGGAGAGAGAGGAGGGAGGAGGAAAGGAGAGGGGAGGAGGAGGAGGAGGAGGAGGAGAGGGGGAGGGGAGGAGGGGAGGAGGAGGAGGAGGAGGAGGAGGAGGAGGAGGAGGAGGGGGAGGAGGGGGAGGAGGAGGAGAGGAGGGAGGAGCAGGAGGAGGAGGAGGAGGAGGAGGAGGAGGAGGAAGAGGAGGAGGAGGAGGAGGAGGAAGGATGAGGATGAGGATGAGGATGAGGATGAGGATGGGGATGAGGAGGAGGAGGAGGAGGAGGAGGAGGAGGAGGAGGAGGAGGAGGAGGAGGAGGAGGAGGAGGAGAGGAGGAGGAGGCGGAGGAGGAGGAGGAGGAGGAGGAGGAGGAGGAGGAGGAGGAGGAGGAGGAGGAGGAGGAGGAGGAGGAGGAGGAGGAGGAGGAGGAGGAGGAGGAGGAGGGGAGGAGGAGGGGGAGGAAGGAGGAAGAGGAGGAGGAGGAGGATGAGGAGGAGGAGGGGGTATGGCGAGGAGGAGTGGGGAGGATGTGGATGGGGAGGAGGAGGAGGAGGGATGGGAAGCAGGGAAGCACTGAAGAGAAAGCGTCTGCTCACAGACACCACTCTAAGAGGGAACTTAAACCCCCAGACCGTCAGTCACCCCGTGAGGGACTGCCCAGTCTTGGGGTGCTCGCCTCTCTGGAGAGCACTGAGGACTGACCTCCTGCTCTTGGGCAAGTCTTTGGGGTCAGGGCAGGGGGAGCTGAAGGCCTTCCCCACCCTGACGGACCCGTAGGCCCCGCACCGCCGACACCAGACGACCGTACCCGTGGCGGTGACGTCGTGTCCCCCTGGCGCGTGACACCACTCCGCCACCGCAGGCTCCCCAGAGCCCGCGGCACCCCCAAAAGGGGCCCCAGCCTCGCCCTCGCGGGCAGGCACAGGCCCCACACGCACGGCCTCCTCATAGGCCAAAGACGCCGAGCCCCCAGGCTCAGCCCCGACGGAAGCCCCAGCCCCGCCCTCGCGGGCAGGCACAGCCCCCCCCCCCCCAGCGCACCCCAGCCAAGCCCCCAGCCACAGCCGACCCAAGCCCACCAGCAGCAGGAACGGACCCAGCCGAGGCCCCATCCCCACGGGCACCCCCAGGGCCACTAGGCGGCCCCCGCGCAGACCCCCAGCGGGCCGTCGGCGGCCTCGCGGCGGCACTGGCGGCAGCCTCGATCAGATTTGCCTGCATTCGGGAAATCGTAGAAGGCACACACCGTCGATCCGTGCCTCCCGTCAACTGTCTGCGAGCCTCGGCGGTCCTCGCAGTGCGACGGCATCGACGACGCATGAGCCTCCCTCGAATCTCGATGAGGTCATGCTCATGCATTAGCAGCACCACTCTGGCTCCATTAGCCTTGGGAGCCCTGCTCGGGGCGGACGCCAGGACTGCCTTCTCAGACCACAGATCGAGCTGACAGCTTCTCTGGACCGCCCACGACAAATACTTGGCATACTGGGCAGCCTCTGTCAGCGAGTCCTTATAGAACCTAGCATGGGCCCCTGGGAGCTTGACCGAGAGGGCCCCCAGCTAAGCGAAAAAGTCGGCCCAACTATTCCCCACGACCCAGAGGTAGGGAGGATGCGGAGGGTCCTCAGGAGCGGGGAAGAGAACCTCATCCTCAGTCCTGTGGGAAGGGGCCCATGCAAAGGCGGGCGGCGTTCTTTTCAGCGCCGCCAGCTGGCGCCACACTGCAGGGTATGCACGGCTAGCATCAGTGAGGGCATCCGTCTCTCCTTGGCCCCGCAGCTTGCCTTCCTGCACACATTCCAGCAAGTCAGAAATCACGCACTGGACCGAAGGCATGCGCTGAAGGGCCTTGAGGCCCGCAACACGCTCTGCACGGCCCACTGTCTGCTGCGCGCCTGCGAGCCCGCCATGCAGCGCACGAGTGGGGGCTCCATTGGCATTCAGCATGACAGCGGACCATCCACACCGACGGAGCTCAGGATACTCATTGTGGTATCCCGAGCCATCAGTAAAAACACAATCACTCCACTGTTCGGGATCCGACTCCCAATCACCCCAAAAGAAACAAGGAGGCGACTCAGGAGGCGGCAGCACTTCAACCTTGGGCCACCTGGGGATCCGACCGAGAGGGCGAACGAATCTACATCCTTGCGGCCCTCTCCGATCGGCCCATGCTCCAACATGGCGTCGCGAGCTGAGGCCAACTTGGGATCGAGACCACAATCCTCCTCATCTTCCAACAAGCGCTGCGTCAGCGCTGGGCACTCAACGAAACAATGGCCAAGCGTCTCGGCCTCGTGCGGGCACGCTCGACACTTCTGATCATCACACATTCCTTCGCTATACAACTTAGCTTTTGGCCAAAGGGAGCCAGACCACAGGCTGCGCAGAGCTCCGACTCCCCCCGCCCCAATAACCGTCGCCCCCCTCCCACCCGCACAAGCTCGCAGGCCTCGCGGCCATAGAGGCGCGGCCGCATCATGGTGAGAGGCAATCTGGCGCATCTGCCAACGCTGAATCCCCTGCCTCAGGAGATCGCGAAAAAAGCGAGGCGACGTGGCCAGGGGCGAAATCACTGGCCCCACGTCGGGCTGGATCAGCACCGACGACAGCGCCACCCAGCCGATCCGCCTGAGCGACAGGACGACCACCTTGAGCGGCCCGCGTGCCGACGCCCACGTCAGCTTGCCCTCGCCCGCCTCGACTCTGTCCAGCGTCGCGCGCCAGGCCTTCTCCAGCGCGCTCATGGGCACCGCCTGCTGCCACACGGCCGCAGCGCAGTGCATGAGCGGCTCGACGGTCGCCGCGAAGACTGGGTCGTACCACGGGTTCCGCTCGCTGGCCAGGTAGAGCGCGTTGCTGCCACCGCGGCCCTTGGCCCCAGCAAGTCGGGCCGCCTTCGAGCGCAGCACGGCCAGCTCGGAGGGGGCCGCGCCGCTCACCGCCGCCCCGTGGGCGGCAGCAGGCAGCAGGCCCGTCTGCCACAGGCGCGCCGCGCGCCCTCCAGCAGCACGTCGTAGCCTCGCCGCGCGCCTCAGCCGCGGCCTCACGTTCTTGAGTCTGGTCTTGACGACCTTCCTGCAGGCCTTGGTCCCATTCAGGTCGTGGCCCAGGTTCCCCATGTGCGGCTGCGAGCCCATCCTGAGCCGCCTGGCAAACTGCGCCGCTGCACCGCGGCTCTGCCTGGACGTCGCCACGTCGCCTGGAGCTCCTGCAGCAAGAGGCCCACGTCCCCGACCTCGTGCTTGAAGCGCTTGACGGCCTGCCACAGGACACGCACGCCTCGCAGGTCCGTGCCGATCCACTGGACCGAGGTGTCGTCGGCTCGGCGAGCGTGCGCGGGATCGCGTCAGACGTCGCCAGCCGCCGCAAGGCCCGCGCCGTCGCCACCACCAGCGCCGCCATCGAGTGGGAGCAGCCCGCCAGGATGCCCTGGTGCGCCGTGAAGCTCTTCGACATCGAGCCGAACGCCTTGATGCGCCTCGGCAGGTGGTGGTACCTGAGGATGGCCCACATGAGGCGGAGTGGAAACCCCAAGGCCCGAGCCTCGTCCAGCAGCCTGCATCCAATCAAGCTGTCGAACGCCTTCCACGCATCTAGGAGCACAGTGACGCTGTGCCCTCCATTGACGTTCACGATCTCAGCCGCCAGGTTGTGGTGGAAAGCTGCTGCCGTCGAGGTCCTGCCAGCTCCACCAGTGCCCCAGAGATTGGGCACGTCCGCCTGGTCGAGCCAGGCACGCGAAATCGTCGAACGCGCCTTCGCCCACAGACGGAGGAAGGAGTTCACAAGGGCAATCCGCCTGCATCCTCCGCTCGCCTTGGGCAGGCGCACCAACACTGCGTGCACTCTGTCAGTCGGCCACACCCCCAACTTCTCGCACTGGCTGAAGAGCGCCGACAGCACGTAGAGGCCGATGTCGCTGACGTGCCAGAGGGCCCGCGGGGCAATGCCCGTCTGGCCCACCGCGGTGCGCTCTTTGAAACACAGCGCCGCACGTCGCATGTGACCGACGCCCATCCGCGGGAGCTCGGCCCAGTCGTCAAAGTCAGGAGGCTTCTCCAGGGCGCCCTGCTCATGGACGGTCCACACGTCTCTCCATCCGTCGAGCTCGCGGTCAGCCAGCTGGCGCGGGCTGGCCCGCGCGGTGGCCCCACGGACCTCAGCCTCAGGAGGTAGCCTCGTGAAGCGGCGTGCAGCACTCGCCCCGCCTGTGAGGCTCTTGGCCGCCCACGCACGCCACTCCTTCTCACGCTCACCATTGTAGCGCCTGGTGAGCCGCTCGGCCTCCGCCACGATCTTCTCGACCTTGGCGGCCCACATCCCCTTGCTCATCTGGGCCACGCCGCCCAAGAGCCACTGTACGACGCCCTCAGAGAGCTGGCCAAGCACGCGATGCGACTTCGCCACGTTGCCGTAGTAGCGGTGGGTCTCGAGGATGAGGTCCACGGCCCGCTCGATGCGGTCGCGCAGGTCGCACCCCAGCAACTTGACCAAGCGCGTGCGGGCAGCATCCAGGTGCCGAGCCCACCGCGCCGCCACCATGTGGGCGCTGACCTTCGGGTCGTACAGCTTCCTCCGTCGCGGCGGCTGCCACGTCGGCTGGGCC